AATCTAGCCAAGAATTTCATACGCCAATCTAAATCTCTCGCAGGAGCTCCAATTCTATTTGTGAAGAAAAAAGATGGATCATTGCGGATGTGTATTGATTATCGAGGACTCAACAAGATTACTATCAAGAACAAATATCCACTACCTTTAATATCTGGACTTCTTGATCAACTAAATCAAGCTAAGATCTATACAAAAATAGATCTCCGAGGAGTATACAATCTAGTATGCATCAAAGAAGGGGATGAATAGAAGACTACGTTTCAAACTAGGTATGGACATTTTGAATACAATGTCATGCCTTTTGGACTTACAAATGTACCAGCAACTTTTCAACATCTAATGAATGATGTTTTTCGAGAGTTTTTGGACGATTTTGTGGTCTGTTATCTAGACGACACCTTGATCTATTCTAAGAATCCAGAAGAACATGAACTTCATGTTCATCGTGTGTTAAAAAAATTAAGAGATGCAGGACTCTATGCCAAGATAGAAAAGTGTGTATTCCACACTACTCAAGTCGATTTCTTAGGTTACATCATTTCAAATGATGGACTTATGATGGATCCTAAGAAAGTTCAAACTATTATAGATTTGAAGATCCCAAAAATGGTAAGAGATGTCCAATGTTTTTTGGGATTTGCTAACTACTATCGAATCTTCATCAAAGACTTCTCTCGAGTTGCAGCTCCACTTACACATTTGACTTGTAAAGACAAACTTCAATGGTATTAAGAAGCGGAAGTTGCTTTTGAATCTTTGAAGACAGCGTTTGTTTCTGCACCAATCTTGTATCGTGTTGATTTTTTCAAAGCATTCTTTATGGAAACAGATGCATCAGACTTTGCTCTGGGTGCGGTTTTTTCACAAATAGGAATAGATGACAAACTTCATCTAGTAGCCTTTCATTCAAGAAAATTCTCAGCAGCAGAAATCAATTATGAGATCTACGACAAAGAACTTTTTGCAATCGTGGATTCTTTTTAAGAATGGCGTCATTATCTAGAAGGCTCTTCCAGTCCAGTCACCGTGTATACAGATCACAAGGACCTCGAGTATTTTATATCAGCACGCGTATTAAATCGTCATCAAGGTTGTTGGAGCATGTCTTTATCAAGATTCGAGTTCATCATTACTTATCGGCCAGAAAAACAACAAGGTTTGTCTGATGTCTTGTCTAAACGTTCTTATCTTGCATCAAAAGAAGGAGATGCAGCTTTTGAGCAACAAAGAATGGCTCTCTTGAAGCCCGAGTAATTTTATCTTTGAGCAATAAAATCAACATTGATTGTTGATTTAACTTTTCTTAAGCAAGTCCAGTTAAGTATGTCTTCAGATCTTCTTGTTCATGATATCAAGAATAATTCTTCTAAATCTCATGATCCATCTAAATTTGAATTCAAGAACAACCTACTCTATTTCGTAGGACGCCTATATGTTCCAGAAGGAGAAGCACGTTTACGTGTTCTTCAAGCTCGTCACAACTTCCCAGCAGCACGACATTTCGGATATAATAAGACTTTGGAGCTGATATCTAGGGATTTTTGGTGGCCTCAAATGTGAAAGGCAGTCAAAGATTTTGTACAATCATGTGATGTTTGCTCAAGATCAAAAACTCCTCGTCATCGACTTTTTGCACTTCTTCAGCCATTATCCATTCTAGAATAACCATGGGCTTCTGTTTCTATGGACTTCATCACGGATCTTCCAATCTCAGGTTCTTATGACTCTATATTCGTGATAGTAGATCGTTTTACTAAGATGGCACATTTTGTATTATGTACAAAATCTATCACAGGTGAAGAAACAGCTAAGCTCTTTCTTGACAATATCTATCACTATCATGGATTACCCAAGGATATTATATCAGATAGGAGAACACAATTTGTATCAAGATTTTGGCGGATTCTTTTCAAGATTCTTAAAGTGAATATAAAACTATCTTCGGCATTCCATCCTCAAACTGATGGACAAACAGAGCGTGTTAATCAAGTTTTGGAGCAATATTTAAGATGTACCATTAATTACTAACAAGATGATTGGACAACTCTTTTGCCATTAGCAGAGTTTGCTTACAATAACACGGTACATTCTTCTACAAAACAAACATCTTTTTTTGCTAATTATGGTTATCATCCACGACTTGATACATTTGACTTTTCAAAAGTTGATAATCTTGCTGCGAAAGATTTAGCAATTCATTTATGAGAGCTACATGCAACGATGAAGGCGCAGTTAAAAGAGGCTCAAGAACAACTGAAGGTCAATGCAGATGTCTATCAAAAGAAAAAAACACCATTCCTCTTGGGTGATAAGGTATGGCTACTTCGTCGCAATATCAAGACCATTCATCCTTGTGACAAATTGGACTATCGAAGACTTGGACCATTTTCTATTTCTGCACAAATCAATCCAGTTGGATATCGTTTACATCTACCAGAGTCAATGAAAATCCATCCAGTATTCCACATGTCTCTTCTTGAACCATATAAGACAGTGGACATACCAAGAAGACGACAAGCTGCACCTCCTCCTATACAAGTAGACAATAATGAAGAGTTTGAAGTAGAAGAAGTCTTAGATTCAAGGTAGCGTCAAAATAAATTGGAATATCTTATCCATTGGCGTGGATATGATATTAGTGAATGCACATGGGAGCCAATAAAGAATCTTGTAAATGCAACAAAGGCAGTAGAGGCTTTTTATCGATGACATCCATCAAAATCAAGATGAAAACCTTCTTTATAAAAGAAACAACATCTAGGCAAGATAACATTCTACTTTCAATCCTTGTTCGTAGCTTCTTTGTAGTAGTGACACTCAGGAGATGGAAAACCAACAACTAGCGGATTCAACTCAAGAGCCTTCATTTGCTAAACTGCTGGACAAGACATTATGATTGTCACAACCTTCAAGACAACGCAATCGAGATGAAGATCTTCAAGAATAATATGTTCTTCCTCGAATAGATGGCGAGATACAACGCGTTTAGTATCACGATTTGGGAAGGGACTCCCGATGTTTGGTGATTGTGCTAGAGGTAGGAACAACTCCTGATGGTGTTCCAAATGTTCTATTCGAAGGAAGTTATGAAGGCCTCAACAATGATTAAATAACTGGATAGTGTTCCCGCCCTGGTATGGGACACTACCGATGGTTGAGAGGCCCTATCAATCATCTTCGAAGAGTACAAAGATCAAAATATGTGGCGAATACAATTTGTCGCATCATAGATTTCCTCAACATATGATGACCGCTCCTCGTGGAACTCGTCCCGAGAAGGGGAAGTAATGTCATGGACCTACTTATATAAGCTAGTAATTACATATACAAATAGGTGGAAGTAAGTAAAAGTAGGTAAAAGTAAGTTAATTCTATAGTATTTAATATGGAAGCTTCCTAGAAGCTTCATAGACACTGCTTTGACTTCATAGGTGTCTTTAATTGACTTTTTGGATTAGAAACGTGGTCAACAAGTTGGCCATGTGCCACACATGTTGTTAGCTTGAAGATTAAGCTAACTATGTGGCCCACACGTAGAAAAACTTGCCTTGTAAGTCAAGGCATGTGTCCTACAAAGTCAACACATATTGGAGGTTCTATAGAACGTCGCCACGTAGTCCCTAGTTGGATAGTATATATAGAGACAAGAGTGAATTCTTCTTCACTCTTGTCAACTCCTTTCTTGCTTCCACTCTAGTTTTAAGGGTCTCTAGTTTTCTTGTCTTTTGGCAATAGCCATTCCAGTTTCTCTTTCAATATATATACTTGTTTATTTATATTTTGTTACCTTTCTTTGAGTGAAGGTTACTTGTCTGAATTGTTTTTTCATCGAGTTCTTGTCCTTGACAATATATAAGACATCAACTTCAATACTATAAACAAGGCATAGAAAATATCAAAAAGAACCACTTTTGTTGTCTTCACCAACAAAACGACCTATAATGTATAATAATAAAAAGATATTTACTTTGGAAATACAAGAATGTGACAAATTTTTCTACATTTTATGTTATAATGAAGTGCTTCTATGTGCACCTTCAACAATAAGATATGCATAATTTTACATTTTCTTTCACATATTAGCTAATATAAGTTAATCCTCAACCAATCACAATTATAAGTGTAAGAAGTCAAATAATTACAAAATTAATATTTTTGATAGATCCAATTAATGAAGCAAAGTAGTTCTAAAGAACAATCTACTAGAAAAGTACAATTACATGAACAAACAACAATCTATCAAACAATAAAGTGGCATAGCAAATTTGATTGAAGAACTACCCACTAGAAATTTAAAAGAAAACACCCTAATCCACAACAATAAACTTAAAAAAAATAACACTAACTTTTATTTTGGAGATCTTTGAAGACAGCTAAGCAGTTTGGACTTTTTAAATGTGTTTTTCAAGGCATGCTCGTTGTCCTACAGAGTGTCTGTCTGTGCCATTAATTATCTCACGCAGTTCCTCCTGAGCCTGCTACATCATCAGTTTCTCTACTCTCAGACATCAGCCTGGCAAACAAAATGTGGCTAAATCGGTGATGAAGACGCAGAAGAAAGAAAGAAAGAAAGAAAGAGAGAGAGAGAGAGAGGGTTGCTTCACAACTCGCGCGGCGCTTGCGCGGTGGAGCACCATTTCGGTGCACAGAAACCCGAAATTACCAGAGATAACGGTGCACGAGTGTAAAGGAGGGGGGGGGGGGGGGGCTCGAGCCCAACAGAACGGACGGACGGACAGATGTGCAACTTCCAGCAGCAGCAGCAGCAGACAGACACAGAGAGAGATGGATGAGGCATGAAAATATTTTATTCCACCGTTCGAGTTTCGCCGAAGATGGTCCGATTGCCAACCTTTTCTTTTTGAAGTTGGAAACAGAGACACATGCAGACAAAAGGATCTTTCTTGGAGGCGCGGCAAGGCGAGGAGGAAAGGGATCGAGGAGGACCAGGCAGAGGCACTGAAACGGAGTGTGCCTTCGTCGCCACTTGGGTCTCTCTCTTTCCTTCTCTCTCGCTATTATGCATGCTGTTAGATTCTGGGTTCCTCTGTGAGCAATCGTGTCCTGGGATGGGAGGATTGGTGATCTAAACCCGAGGTATTGGTGGGTTTGTTAGCGCTGTGCGTAAATTGAGGCCTGTTGTGGGTTTATCAAGTGAATGTACACCGATCAAGTGGGCAGCTTGGGTTTTGGTGGCGAGCGTGTAGGAATGCAGCTCCGGAAGTGGCCATCATGGGTATTCTCTTGATGAGCATTGTTTTGACTGATGGTTTCTCTGATGCAGATGAGAAATGGAAGCCTCGAGATATATCCAGGCATGAAGTTGTACTGGGTAATCTACCATGTGAGGATAAAGGGGAGGTGCTAAGGTGAGCATGTAATTTGAGGGCATGCAATCCGGTCCCCATTGCATTAGTTCCTACCCAGCGTTGATGCTTGCAGTGTTTTTGGTTGCGTTAAATGATTTGAGACATGTGGTATTCACAGCCAAGATTAACAAATGGTATCTCAGTTGAAATCATATGTTGCTCCTGATGAATAGACGAGAGGAATTATGGACGCTGCCAAGGACTACGTAGCCGGCCTGACGGCCGGTGTAGCTACGGTGCTTGTGGGACACCCCTTCGATACCGTCAAGGTTAACTATATGAAGCCAAAACCCTGTATTATATTTGCTATTAAAAGTATGTTCCATTGAGGCTTAGAAAAGTGGAAGTTTATCGGTTTAATTGTTGCTGTTCTTGTGTGCCAGCTGATGTTTGTATTTCCTAATTCAGAAAACTACAGGCTCGTATCAATTGAAGCTTGTGCACGAGATAGAAATATCTGGTGTCAGTTCTCAATGAAACTTTGCGCCTAATATTGCAGGTAAAGCTACAAACACAGAATACAGATGCACACAACCAGAAGTATCGAAATGCTATTCAGTGCACCTCTCATATTCTGAAAATGGAAGGGGTACGCACTGGACTTTTTTCTTTTTTTTTTTTTTTTTTTTTTTTTTTTGTTATTGTTGTTTAGACCACCGTACTAGTCTGTTGGAATCGGAGCAGTGTCTTAGAATTTCAGAAGTGTATAGACAGTTCTTCTCTTCATCAATTCTCTATGGTAACAGCCTTGAAGGGGAGGTACAAATGTGCATGCTGTGGTGGTAGTACTTGACTGCGAAGACTTCAGGTTCAGTGGCATGGAGTGAATGATGAGCTAGAGGTTTCTGCTTTTCATAGGAAGGTGATTGAGCTTGGAATAACTTGTGTAATTTATCTTCAGCCCAAAGGGCTCTACAAAGGAGCTACATCATCGTTCGTCGGCGTTTCAATCGAGAGTGCCGTTCTGTTTGGAGCTTATTCACAAATAAAAGCTACCCTGCAGGTACTAGAGCAAGTCAGCACTAACCTATCACAGAAAGTCCAGGCAGAACAATCGCAATATTGTTAGCACAAGGGTTTTCAATGCTGTGGCTGCTTATTTCAAGCCTTCGTATTTACATCATATGAATCCATTAACTTTGGTTTAGGCTGTCAAGGGTAAGTGCAGGCTAATAGAATACTGGCCAAAATACAATTTATTCATAGATTAATTGGCCTTAGCTTTGGGATAATTTGTGCGGCTTGGAACGCAGGCCTGATGATGCGGTGAAATGGATGGCATTGTTGATATGGGGTTGGCGTTTATGTTTGCTGAAAGGGCGACGAACCGCTGAATGGGAAGCCGCCATTGCACGTCGTTGTTCCTGCAGCAGGTCTTGCAGGCGCGGGTGTTGGTTTCATTCTCTGTCCAACTGAACTTGTCAAGGTGAACCTTCTGCTTTTCATTTTACCTTGCACAGGGCAAAAATTGTCTGGTGGGAGAGATTTAGGTTTTAGCGGCAACTCATTGTTATGTGCTTCTTGTTTTGGCGATATGGTTTTGAGAAGTCGCTTGATGGTTGATATGTACAGTGTCGACTTCAAGTCCAAGCGAAAGATGTAATATGTGTACCTGGGCGAACCCATTACACTGGACCTCTCGATTGTGTTCGCAAAATCCTTAAAAATGAAGGAGTGCGTTCTTGAAACTCAATCCTTCTTGCAGTGCAATATTTTTTTCTTTTCCGAAAGCTATGTGCGTTGACCCCACTATTCTGGGTTTCGTTGTGAAAAATGCTTTCAAATCAAAATTGTTATTTGTTTGGGTTCACTGTTGAACAGATTCGTGGACTCTTCCGGGGAGGAACAGCCACAGTTATGCGGGAGACATTTGGCAACATGCTGTTTTTTACCACTTACGAGACGACACGTTACCACATGTTTACAACCCTTGGCCTTGATCCAAACCGTGTCAAACCCATCTCTCAAACACATGAGGCTGCTCCTACCCAATCTATGGTGGTCAACACACTATTAGAGACAGGAGTCGGCATCATCACTGGTGGATTGGCAGGTGTTGCGGTGAGTGTACCGGATAATTTTCTACTTGAGTGATACTATGTTCATCGAATACTTTCCCACATCTTTCTCTTTCAGTTTATTTTTCTTCCGGGATTTATGACTGAAATCATGGTACCAAGGAGACTGGCATCTTACAAATTCCGAGAATTGAGTTGCTGTGCAGTTCTGGTCGGGGGTCTTGCCATTGGATGTCGCGAAGACGAGAATTCAAACGTCTAGGAATTTGAGCATTAGTCGGAGCCCTTTCTACCACTTTCAACTTGTAAGTTGCTGACACTCCGAAGCTACACGTGTCTTGAATTTCTCACATCCTATCTACTGTGAATGGTAGTTCTAAGTTTGAAATAATTGGGATATGCAGATTTACAAGCAGGCTGGCATGCGAGGTCTATATGCGGGAGTAGGTCCTACTTTGTCTCGGGCTTTTCCAGCCAACGCAGCGGCTATCGTTGCCTGGGAGTTGACTGCTCGTGTTCTTCACGCATGATGATTGATCCTTATGTTGTCGTCGTCTTTGTTGATGATATGAGCTCATTTTTCTCACACCTTTCTGAATGGTGTTGATCCGGAAGTACATAGTCGTAGTTTGCCACAATTTAATCAATGCGCTTTGCATGAGGAATGCATACATCGTGGTCTTTGTAGCTGCGAAAGCGAAAACTGTACCCAAAGTCCCAGCGGATTTGAATGATGAGTGCCCATTCCATTACCCACCTCTAGCTGATTCCTGGGATTTGCAGTGATTATGTGGGAACACGGTCGAAGAAAGAGAGAGAGACTAGCGCTAGACTCTAGCATTGATAAGTTGGGTTGATTGCAGAGATGCAGGAAACGCATTGTGAATGATTGGACCCCTCCAAATGCCTTTCATGTCCTTGTGCTTCTGCAAGTTTAGGTGCCTTTGGAAAGAATGCTTTCTTTATTTCTATGAAGACCAGATATTTCTCAAAAGTGAGAAATTTACAACGAGAATGGGAGTAACGTAGTTTCATCTGTTCCAAAAACAGTTCTAAATCTGTACACTTTCTAACAAATCCCTTTTTTTCTTTTGTTTCTTTTTCGTTTTTTTAAAAAAGAGCTATAATGGTTTAGATGTGCACTGATTTTACAGATTTAAAAGATAATTAATTCATATACTTTAGTATATATATATATATATATATATATAATCAAATCAAATTATCATAACTGTGAAGGTGGAGAAATCTCAAAATTCATTTGAAGAGGAGAAATGAAATAATGAGCTATTAAGATCCTACAATTTCCTACAAAGAATCAAGCTTGTCTTAAAATCCTACAACTATAAAATCTTCTAGTTGTACATCTTTTCTTATTTATAGTTTAGATACAAAAATGTATTACAAAATATTTACAAGAATAATTTATTTCTCAAAATTTATGATGGTAAATATCTTTAAAATTACACAATGTTGGTTTCATCCCAATGAGATTCATTTAGGAAACTGTTGTTGTGAATACCTCTCTTTTATTGTGAAGACAACTCCTTTGACATGCGCTATTGCACATAGAAAGTAAAACCCTTATTTACATAAGCATAAATTTGCAGTAAAACATTCGTTTGCAATTGCTTATGCTACCTGTTTATTTTATTTTATTTTTTCCTTTCTTGATTAAATTTTACAAATTTTTTTTGATACATTTCATGTAATTTCTTTATTTTCTTTTAGAAGCTTATTAGTTTTATTTGAAGAATCTTTTAGTGGTAATTTTTTCTCAATACTTGTTTTTTATAGTAAATAAGAGTTTTATTGTGTATATGTAGGGGTGCATGGGAAAGGGGGTTTCTACACATAAAAGGAGGGTGTCCACCTAACATTTTCTTTTATTTAATAAAGACATTAAATCATAATTAGCACACTATATTAAACTCTTTCTTTTCTTTTCTTTTTTTCTATTTGAAAGACAAATTTACAACACATTTTTTGTAATAAATTTGTTCAATAAACATAAAATGGCAATATTAGATAAAATTTAATTTAGTTTATTTTTTTAATAAATTTTGAGATTGACCATCATTTATATATTAAAAAAATAATATTAAAAATTGTATACAAATTAATTCAATTTTTTAAAATTCTAGGCCAAGATTATAACTTCAAAGTAAGAACTTCAAACTAATATTCTAAAAATTCCACGAAGTTGTGGACTAAAAACTAAAATAAGCTTTAATTGATTTGATTGAGGAAATAATATCCTCTTTAATTCACTAACATTTTAGCTATAAGTTCTTTTTTTAAAGAGTTTATACAAGATCAAATATATATATATATATATATACTTTTGGTTATTGCATTTTTCAGCCACTATTTTGGATGCACGATTTTGATCGTACCCTCTAAGTCATTTTGATCACAAAAAAAGAAAAATCTAAATTGAAGAAGTTTGCAGGAAAACAAGTAAAAAGAGCATCTTCTATGGTGACAGCAATCCTGAGCGTTGAGGGCATGGACGAGAGGGGCGTGATTCCACAGTGAGCAGTGAGCGAACCTGCAACAAACCCCACTTTCAAAGCTCATCAACACTGTTGTGTTTCACCATCATTAGAGTCTACAATTCAATTGTTGCATTTGTGTGAAAAAGCTACAACTTTCGAGCTTCAGGGAGTGAGGATCACCAGCTGTGAATGTGAGAATTTGACATCTTTCGGTAACCCACATCATGATTCTCGACCAGCGTTGGAGGGAACGCTGGTCAAAGTAGCTGTGAACAATGCTGCATTAAAAGCAGAAGCTACCGACCGCGTGAGGTCATAGTGAGCTTCTAGCAAGCACTTGGCTGCATTTAGCAATCGTGGAGACCATGTATTTTTGTATTCAGTACACGGAGAACAATTGTAAAGAATTTCAAGCCTATGTTCGTGGACATCAATTGGCCGCCATGAATCACTTGTAACTTGAATGACATGTTATTGCAAGTCGATATGTTTTCTGAAGTAGCACAGTCCATTTCGTGACACGATATTCATGTAAAAGTCCCGATCTATTGTCGAAGTGCTGCAGTCAAGCTGGTGGTGGTCGTAACGGGAAATATCCTCTCACGCATGCAGCAATCGAATTATCCGTAAAGGATGGGCGTAGTTTTCGTTACCGATGTCGGAAGATCTGCTTCAGTGTTGCACGATATTGACTGTGCATGGAATATTCTCGGTACAACTTCACACGTAACAGACGTTACCGATTCGATGCACCACAGTTCTGTAAGGTCATGCAATTTGTGGGCTATCCCAAGCGACCGAAATTGCCTGACTTTACAAAACAAATATCTGTGGCAATTGCTGTAGAAGGTAACTGTTCACTCGCCATTTGCGGACTTTCCCAATTGCCACCGACGTTGATGTCACAATGGTCAATTTCAACATTTAAACATTTTTTCTACAATCATGCCATCATAAGCAAGTTGCGATCTGTAAGCTCTAGTTACAGTCACTGGTAGTTCACCCGGCAGCCATAGCCATAATGCTTGATGGTCCATCAACGTTGCATATATCTTGGCGATTGACCTTCACTTTCAGCTTCAAGTGGCTCGGTTATCTCCAAGCTCGTCGGGAGCTTTTAGGCACAAACTCAACACCGAGCACTACACTTATGAGAGTCTAGAGTAGAGAAGAGGTGAGGCACAAACTGTTCCTGACTTTCACCTCGGTGTTTTTCACAAAATTGCCGTGATTTGCTTGGATGCAGAGAACATGTGACAGCATTTGCTTCAGCGCTGAACCTTCATCTGCATTGCAACCGATCCTCGACATTGAGATTCATCATCTCTCTTCTACTATAGCTTCAGCATGACAACAACTAAGAGATTTCCTGTGACGCATCTGAAGGCATCTTTTCGTTCTTCTCCTTGACAGATGCACTCTGGCTTTGTGAAGCATTACCAAGTAGCTGAATTCTGTTGCAGCGCTTCATATCGAATTTAGAAAACTGTCTGGCAGATATGTCGAGCAAGGATCCCAAAATATGGCATTGGATGGCGCTTCTCGTGATGGTGATTTTAACAGGAGGGTCTGTCATTACATTCTCAAACCTGCTCGACGCCGGCTACACTGTCATCTCAACGTCGTCACAGTCGCCCTACTTAGTGCATGCCTTCGATAACTACAGGGTCGTTGCACAAAACCTAACACAGTCTCGATGTGAGGGTGTAGTATTTTCCAAGTTCAAAATCTTGAAGGAGAAAACTTACAATCCGAAGAAGTACAAAGACGACGGACATCTTTTACGTGAAGCAAGTCAAGCTTGTACTCCACCGGGAACACCACGGATCGCCTTTCTGTTTCTCGTTCGAGGTCACATTCCTCATGAGCCCTTGTGGAAAAGATATCTACAAAACCACGAAGGAAAGTACTCGCTGTATGTTCATGCTGCCCCTGGTTACATATACCCTAAAGGATCCCTCTTCGAATGCAAAGAAATTCCCAGCAAGCCGTGCCCAAGGTTCTCCCCCCGCATCGTCGACGCACACCGCCGGTTACTGGCCCAAGCGCTTCTCGACCCCCGGTACAATAATGCATGGTTTGTGAATGTGTGTGAAAGCACCATTCCCATTCGCAGCTTCCCCTTCGCGTATCACTACCTCATGACCTCACCAGTGAGCTTCGTCGAGTCATTCTACCCGAATGCGAATTACCATTCTTGGAACACCACGCCGGAGTTCAACAGAACTGATTTGCGCAAAGGCGAGCTGTGGATGGCGATACGGCGAGAACATGCCTTGACAGTTGTCAAAGACGCAGAGATCCACAACAAGTTCCTCAGGGACTGCAAGAGGTGGTGCACATGGGACGAGCAGTATGTGCAGACGCTGCTGCATATTCGAGATCCGAGTGGGATTGCAGAGCGCACAGTGATGTACGTGGACTGGAATTTTCCGCACGGCGGTTCTCCAAAGACGTTGGAAGCGACCCCGCACAAGATCCGAGACGTGCAATCGCGGACTAGGGACATGGACGGGGAGCGCCACGACACGGCATTCAACAAAACTTCTTACGACTGCGTGCACAATGGTGTGTCACCGTCTCCTTGCTTCCTCTTTGCTCGCAAGTTCAAGCCCGAGGCGACGAAGCCCCTTCTCGCGCTCAACCCGAAATACCTTGGCTTCTAAACCTCCACAGGGATTGGTTCCGTGGAACCAGTTAGGTAAAAAAGTTGCGATCTTGTTAGCGAGCTTTCCCGTAGCAGCCCCTGAAAGTGCCCGATGACGTTTTTTACAATTGTGTAGCATTTCAGCAGCGGCAAACATCCAGTAGATGCATGCTCTTGTGATAAGAACCCAGGTATTCACCAACTTTAATGCTGCGCAGCACACAACTTGCATCAACCGATATGGAATATAAACGACGATGTGCCTTGAGAGTGTCGCAATGAACGCCTCGACTTTCTGCTACGCTCTCAACATTCTACACCGAAGTATTTAGTTCAGAGGTGATCTAGACAAGTGTTTGAGATTGCGAAGCTTCGAAGCTTGTAGAATATGACATTAGTTGAACTAGAAATGTTGGCAAAAATTCAACAAAAATTCAACGTCCTCGTCACATGATGGAAGGGCCAGATCCCCATGCTGTGGTTTTTAATCATTTTGAAAGTAACGATGTGTGCCGATCAAGCAAAAACCACTGGAACTGACTCATTTGTCGCACTTTACCCGCAGAAGTCTCTACAGAAGTCCCATAATACAAGCAGCTTCTGCAAAAACAAAATGAGTAGAGGATTCCGTACGTTGCTTGGAACACATAGTCCATATCTCTCTATTGTTATCGGTAACAGAAACACGGAGCTGTTATTTCGAAAAGAGTATGCACATCATACTGAGTGCAGAAGTACCGTTCTGAAGGAACTGGGCATGAGTTTGAGCTAGCAGGACGGACCCGGTTGGACACGAGTAGCTTGTACGAGACTGGCCACATGGGACGGCGGATGTGGGGTCGCACCTTCTCCTAACCCTGATGATCAGAACAACAACACTAGAGCTTGTACCTGTCGAAGACCCTGTCAACAAATCCCCCCCCCCCCCTCTCTCCAGATTCCTGCCGCTTCGGGTGAGTTCCCACCACTGTCGTGTTTCTCTTTTCAACGTCAGCCAGTTTTCGTTTATACTCCTAATAGCCCCAGAATTACGGAGATATCAATAAATCGAGTGTCTGAGCGATGGGAAATTCTCCAGATCTACCGGCAACCTTCACTGCAGGGTTTCGTGTCCGGCGCGATGAGTTTAGCGTGAGAACGATCGTAACTATGAATGCAACTGAATCATCAACTTTGGATCCTACTGGATTGAAGCAATAGAATCGGTTATGCTCATCTGCAGCAATGTGGGGTCTTTCAGTGCACAAACACTTCATTCACTCTTGAACAATGACACCTCCTCGAGAACATAGTAACATTTCGCACTCCACCTTGAGAAGAAAACCCGTTTTTACCTGAAAAAGCAAGGCTCGGTGATGTTGATATGATCACTGAATTAAAAGAAAAAAAAACAGAAAACAAAAAAAAAAAAACAGAAAACAAAAAAATGGTCCAGATGAGCAGGTATTACAGTGGATAGTTTCTATTCTAAAAGCAGAGTTGTGCCACATTCTACAATCTCATAATGGAATTTCATCTCTTCGGAACGATCAACACAACCTTTCATAACTACCATAAGTCTCCCGGTATGGCCAACAAAAATCACCTTTAAATTTTGTATCAAGTTGGAACGAAAGCAAATCCACAAACATGGCAAAGTGATTAGCATTCATAAATGCCGTGTTCAAAACTATACTTATCTATTCTTAAACGATATTCAAATCCCACGTTTGATTTGTTCAAGTCCAATCCCTTCAGCCCATTGATGGCAACATATTATTAGCAGCAAAAGCCTTCTCATCCACTGTCACAGCATGCCGGGGGGATGATCTCGTGGCGATTGTGGCCTACATGGCGAACCCACACCACGAGGACGAAGGCGACGTCAGAAGATGAGGAGGAAGAGAAAGGGAGAGAAGGCGACAGGGGGGGGGGGGGGGGGGAGATGCGAGAGCTCTGAGCGGGAAAAGAGAGTTGGTCCCAGTCAGCGCCGCGCTCTCGCCCCCTTTCGGAGCCAGACTCGCTCCGTCGTGCCTGCACAGCAGCTGAGCCTGCCGGTTTTGGCCGTCTGTGATGGTTCGGACAGCCATGTTTGCAATCGAAGCCCCGACCTTGCGCATATTAGGGTTTCCGAATTCGGCAGATTTGTGTGCAATTTTGCGTTGTGGTATGTAGGAAACACGGCTTTCAGTCACATGTGTTGTGTTGTGTTGTGTGCGCGTGTGAATAAGATCGTTTCACGCATTCATTTTTGTTGTCGAGTGCATGAATGGATGCGTTACTCATTTGATGGCCATGCTCTACAAGAATTGCATAAATTTTTAAAGCATAACATTTTGATTCTTCAAGACATGTAAATGTATGTATGTATGTAAATATTTGGGAAATTTGATATTCATTATTTCTATTGCGAATTGATGGTCATTGGTGTTTGCAATTTCTGAAAATGTTGCGTATATATATATATATATATATATTCGAATCAACTTAATTATTTTTGAATTCTTCGTTTTGCTTTAGCTTAGGCAAGGTGCTATTGTTCTCGTGTTTGATGCTATTTCAGAAAGATTTTCTGGCGTACCATTTAAATGTTCATTAGTTGTACGTGACTATAAAAAAATAAAAAACAGTGTTGTTTTTTCTAATCCAAAATCTTTATTTCAAATAAGTCCTAAATTAGATTTAGTTGATAAGTTATATGATATTTTGAAGCTTTTTGAAATTATAAACTTTACATAAAGACTGTGTGTGTGTGTGTGTGTGTATATATATATATATATATATATGAAAATAAAAGTATGACATGTGTACCCTCATTACACCCAGCTGGTATAAGCAATTAAAATTTTGTTTTACTTTATAAGGTCAAGGATGTCCCCTGGGTCATCCTCAAGTGCACCTAAGACACTCCACATAATTCCATCCATATTTTTTTGGGTAGGGTGATCCATTAATTATGGCCATCCTATGTTATATTATGTAATATTACATGTTACCATTATGTATTACATTATTAAGTATATAATATATGTTGTGTGTTCATACCATCAATAACATATTTAGCTAGGTATACTCATGTGATGAAGCTAGGTAGGATTGTGTACATGTTATAATCTATTACTTATATAGATTAGTTTTGCCATCACAAGACAAACAATGATATATATATATATATATATATTCTTTGGAAAACAAAATGGTGGTTCTTAAACTTTCATTGTAATGCATTTGAGTCCAGAAAACCATACAATAAAATAAATACAATCAATTCACAGCTTATTCATGACAAAAATTGAATATATTTTTCATTTTTGACATGCCTATTTAAGCAGCATATAATTTGCATTTGGTGCATTTATTTAATAAACATTATTGATGGAGCTGAAGGACCTTTTTCAACTATATTAAGTGAACCTTCATACATTGCAATGTGGACCACTCTAAATGAAGAACCATGAAATGAAAGCAAAATCAATACAAAGGTGAAGCAAAAAGGATGTGTGATGTGAAGAAGGAGCGAAACAACTGATACCCCAAATGACACAACACAGGTGATGAAAATGAAAAATAAGTGGACAAGTGAGAGTGTGAGGGGCACTCGAAAGTGTAATACAAGCAAGGAAATGTGTTTGTTTTGGCATGCTTTGCGGCGACATCGCCACACTCGCAATGCTTTACGGAGTGGGAGGGGAAGAAGGGTGAGTGACTAAGCGAGCGAGAGACAGAGAGAGACAGAGAGAGAGAGAGAGAGAGAGAGAGCGAGAATGGTGGGTCCACGTCCTTGGTCTCGCACCACAGCAGATGTGCACACAGTGCCACTGATCCTTGCAAACTAGAGCAACTCATGGAGCTGCTAGTTCCATGGGTGAACCCTGCATGAGTTGCTCTAGTTTGCATGGGTGAACCCTGCATGAGTTACTCATGGAGCTCCCCACCCCGCATGCTTATCCATCCTTTGATCTTCACATTTTTTTTTCTTTTTGTTTCGCAGCTCTGGGTGAGTGATCAACTCTAACTGGTCCCGCGTGTTGACTCAAACGTCCCTGTTGATTGCTTAACAAGCTGGTGCGGAACGAGGGTCTAGATCTCGGAGGTGGTGCACTGCGAACTGCGATTGGCGTGGGTTTGCGAAGCGATCAGAACTACCGGGAGAAGACGGGAGCAGATCCCGACAGCAACTGTTCCGTTTGAGGACTTGGTCCTTTGTCCCATATCCATGCGGTAGAGTCATGGTGCCCACGTCATGAGTTTGAGGTAGTGCTGGTGCATATTGACTTGCCTTTGTAGTTTAGCCCGATTTCATATTTGGTAAATGTATAATACAGCATGTAATATGTGTTCTCAACAACTGCTCATTCAGAAAAAAAAAAAAAAGTAAATTCTTAAAATCTCAGATTGGGTTTTTCTCTGAAACGAAGCTGTGAGCTTAGACCAACAAAGACGGTATCTTTATTTTATTTTATTTTTAATACAGTATGTTGATTGCGATGGTATATTGTTATAAGGGAATTTGCCAGTTCCTTTTACTCAATTAGTCGAGGGAATATTAAGTGGAGATATAGTATTAATAGCAGATGTGGGATAAGGTAGTTGGGGATGATCAAGTAAACATAGTGCGAATCATTCCTGTCTTACACAAGTTTAGCCAAATGGGTCCCTGAAGCCTGAAGCTGCATTTCTACAGCACCACAGCGACGAACAGATACACGAGATAATTGATGGAGAATGGAATTCGTCATTCATTCCCCCCCTGAAACTGAATTGAATCGCACCAAAACAATACCAAACAAAGCGTCCAAAAGTTAATCAAGCGAAAAAAGCTAACCGCTCACAATGCGATGAAAGTCCAGCAGTAGCGTAGCACCAGACCTCTTTCCCTGTACAGCAGATGCCAACGTCGGGACGGCAGCAGCAGCAGGAGAGAGATGATGGAGGAAGCCAAGCAGGGGGGGGGGGGGGCTGGAGGGAGGTGGAGGAGAAAAGAGGTGGGGCTGGGTCCAAGGGAGGAAAGAGAAGGGGGAGGTGGGGTTTGGCTTGATCTCATCCATCTGTCAGCCACCCTGTCTTTCGCAGCGCCAGTTGCCGGCCCTGTGGACTGCTTCAGCACCCAAACTTACACCCCCGAAAGCCAAAGCCAGGGAAGCAACTCCCTCCACCTTGCTCATCACCCAACTGGTCTCTCTCTCTCTCTCTCTCTCTCTCTGCAGCAGAATTCTCGTACCCAGTTCACACCCCCCCCCCCCCCCGCCCTTCCCCTCTCGCTCTCTCTCTCTCTCTCTCTCTTATATATCTCCACGTCTACGCATTTATCTTCGCGTCTTCCAATTGCATCCCACCAGGGTCTGGATCCTGCCTCGTGGTGCACATCCTTCATCTCTCATTCTCCACACCCAAGATTCTATCTTTGTGTGAGCCGCAGCTAGAGCTAGATTGTGGATTTTAGTTTCGGCGTTGGTTGGTCTCGAGCTGCGAGCTCGTGAGTTCCAAGGCGAGGTGCTTCATCTGCAGATGTGAGTGTCGGCGTGGAGTTCGAGGTCATTGTGGTTGTGCCTGGGGGCTGTCTTTTTTTTTTTTTTTTTTTTTTTTTTTTGGTGTTTGGTTGCTGGGATTGGGTGGATTGGAATGTTTAGCGCGAACGAAGTGCGCGAGTCGCACCCAGGGTCTCGAGCAGAGTCGGTGTGATCGGATTAATTGTTTGGAATTTCCGATCTAGAGGATTGCGTAATTGTTTGTTGTCTAGAACCTGGAAGCAGTTTTCGTGAGGGAAGTTAATGGCGATTCGGCATGAGGGCTATTCTGGAACAGGAATTCAGAACAGTGCCTTTCTAATGCTCATCCCCATTGTGATACCTTATTGTGGTAATGATCTGGAAAACTTGGAGAATTTAAATTCGTGCTTTCTCTCGTCTTTTCTGCTCAGCCTTCGATGCCGATGGAATTGTTTTTCTAGAGAAATTGGCTTCACTTCGTTCTGGTCCAAGTAGTTGACCAAATTCCCAATCAGCTAAGATCGTCTCCTCTTATTCTGTCTAAGGTTCTGTAACTTCACAAGGATTTGTTGTCTATACCGTAGCGCAGAACGACTGGTTGATTCTCTCTTTCTCACTCTCTCTCAACTTGGGTCTGTCTGCGTCGTCTCTTTGGACCCGGGGTACAACTCTTGCACGAATATCATGCTGAGCGCAGAGATGAGAGGCGCAAGTCATCTGAGCTTACCACATTGATTGATTGAAAGATCTGTGGTGGAAAGGAAGACTTTAGATGCATGTGGATTGTCTGCAAAAGGACCAAACTTATGAATGAACTGCCGTCCGAACGATACTCCTTGCCTGAATAAGGTCATATGCTGATATGTCACACGATTCTTTGATATTGACAGTAATTCATGTTTTTATGTATATATATATATATATATATATATATATAATTATTTTCCTCCTGTGAATTCAGAATCCTTTGGGCAGATCCACGTCAACGATGGGTGTTTCAGGGCCTGCGCATTTTGTGTTCGTTCACGGAGGAGGGTTGGGCGCATGGACCTGGTTCAGAGTGGTGGATTTTCTAAGGAAGAAGGGACACAAGGCGACTGCCATCGACCTCACAAGCTGTGGCAGAGACACTATCGACCCCAACACAGTGTCTTCGTTTCTGGATTACAATCAGCCCCTCGTCGACTTCTTCAATACCCTCTCCAGCACTGACAAGGTTAGTTCGACACTTTCAAACACAACTCTCCCGTGTGTTGGACGAGTTGCACGCCAACTTGTCTCATTAACTATATACATTGCTTCAGGACTCGATGAACATCCTTTACTTTAATACATGTACGTATATGAATGCCCTGCACACGAATGTGGTGAATCTGCAGGTGATTCTCGTTGGGCACGATCTTGGAGGATTGAGCGTCACTTACGCGATGGAACACTTTCATCAGAAAATTCAAGCCGGTGTCTTCCTTGCTGCGATGATGCTACCCAGCGGCTTTCCTCTCACTCTAGAGGTACTTATTCTCCAATCAGAGTAAAATAGGGTTCGAAGTTTGAGTTACGGTTTCTTCTCTACCTTCGCTAAGTCTCCCCTCGACTAGCGTCGACATTCGATTTTGATGTACTTTCTTTGGTTGCAGCTGTTTGAGTTGGACCCAGCAGTAGGCCGCCACATCGAGTACACATTTGGCGATGGAATTAACAATATGCCCACCGCGTTGTATGTCATGGAGAAAATGCAACATCAGGTGTTCTATCACTTGTGCCCATCTGAGGTAAGGCTGGGATTCAATTTCTACCTCTCTCTCTCTCGCTCGCTCTTGCTTTCTGAACAAGTGGATGGATTGCCCCGACTTTTCCAGTGACATCGTCATCTGCATTAAACAGACGACATAAATCAGTACAATCTCGTGGCTCGTTTTGCAGGATGTTGTGTTGGCGTCGCTTCTATCAAAACCCGTGCCCTTGAGAATGCTGGACGGCTCATGCATTGAGTTCACGGAGGAGAGGTATGGCACGGTCCCAAAGGTGTACATCAAGACGATGAAAGACCGAGTGCTGCCTCCCGATGCTCAAGACGAGGCATTCTTGTCTGACCCCGCGTGCACGCCCTCAGAAATCCGGGAGATTGAATCCGACCACAGCCCCTTCTTCTCCAAGCCAGTAGAGCTGGTCCAACACCTTGAAGAAATCGCTTCTAATTACGCTTAAATAAAAACTCAACTACTTAGGCCTTGTTTTCAGTTTTAATCGACCTATTGACGGTATGCATTGTTAGGAAATTGTAGGATAAGAAAGTTGCGAATCATTTGGGCTAAAGCTTCCCCATCCGTAGTGAAGCAGTGAATAACAGTGAAACGGCACAGGCAACTTTTATCTAGCTTGCTGCTCATCTCTATCTCTTATCTCCAGTGTACACTGTTACCAGCTGCATTGGAGTTGCAATACTGAAATCCCCCCGAATGTGTGCAATGCAAGGTTGGCTAAGCCCCCTCCATCACAGCCAGCTCCATGTTTCTACATGTTTCTGATTGATTCTATCACCGCACCAGTTCCATGGGATCTGATCCACAACCCAGCTCACCATTTGCTTCCATCACTGAGCCTCTCTGCAAAGCGTTATCTCTGCAGAATATGCCAACTTAGAGTGAACAGTTCTGACAGTGACCATTAGATTTCTAAATAAGCTGTATTTATTATATTTCTGTTTCACAAGAAGCTTCTTGTTGTCGAAGTTAAGCTGTTTTTCAGTTATTGTTACTATTATGATAATTTCCTCTGAATGATTTACTGGTTGGAATGGAATTTTAAGAAAAAAATGGAACTGAAGTTTCACATTTTCACATGGAAAATCTCTGAGGATTAGTATTCCTTGAATATTCTGGATTCATTATTTGAGGTCTTCCTATATTCGCTCTACAACTTCATTTTAAAAAACAAAAAAAAAAACAAGATATATATGATTTTAAAAAAGGCTCTCATTAGTTAAAAGATACACATTTTAAAAAAATTAAATAAGCTATTTTTGATTAATTATGTTGCAAAATATTTATGAATATATTATTGATTAGAATCTATATTGATACATTTTGTTTTTATTTTATTTTATAAAATATAATAAACCTCATCATACTCAGTGTGCAACAATTTTTGATAATGCTAACTCCAAACTTCGTAAAGTTTTTTTTTTTTTTTCTACTCAATTCATAAATATTGCATATACAAAAAAAAAATTATTAAGTTAATGTACTTTATGGTAAGTCATGAAAGTGCTATGATGACATTATCCTTCATGAATCCAACCTTAAAACCATAAATGATTTTATTTATTTATTTATTATCTGTCTTAAAATACTAAAAAAAAAAATTGTATATATTTTAAAAAATATTCTAAAAATCCCAAATTGTCAATAAGTCTTGTAACAAATTTTTAAAAAATATGTGTTTTTTTTTTAAATCAAATAATGCCATTATTATTATTATTATTATTATTTACTTATCCACAAAGTTTTTATCACTACTTCCAGAAAATATTGTTTAACATTCTATCACTTTGAATATATAACCTATCATAAATATACATATAATCATGGAAAATCTTAAGTATCACTTTTAAATTTTATTTATTAAGATATTATTAATTTTATTATAAATAAAATTATATTAATAAAAATATATAATTATAGATAAAGAATCACTTTGCTTGCTTTGATAATCATTCAACATGAGTGTACAAAATAAGAAAGACCATAGAAACAAAGATCTAGGTTAGCAACCTTGTTGGCACCATCAAATGCCAAATCTGCATGATAATTGCACATGCAATAGTGAATAAGAGACCCAAAATATAAACTCAAGTTGTAAATCTATTGTTGCTGCTCAATTATGACCACCATCTTAGTAGTAAATGAGGCATTTTGTAAGAAACAGCAAATTCTATATTCTTTAGTTTAAAAGATATATAAGTACATAGTGAACAACTTTATATGTATATTCAAAGTAATAGAAGTAGATTATGTACTTATTAGAGAATGGTGCCAAATAAGACCTTTTACTGGATGGCAGAATTTAAGCATCTTCAAATTTATTTCCTAGATGGATCTGACTAACTTTAGTATCTAATCTATATACTATTTTTCTTTGTTGAAAGATGGTATTGCTGCAAAGATCAACTTTGCATCCACTTGGCTCAATTTTCCAACAATATATTGTCAAACAATAACTTACTATGCTTTTGTTGATAATTGATGAAGTATACTAACTTTAGACTAATCTTACAAATGAGGTCCAATACAAATTAATTAGTTTTACAATTACTTATGATTAAAGAGGATTGTTGGAGCTCCATTTAGTTGGATATTTCCAAAAACATGAATTTTCTATTTTACATACTTCATTCAATTATTATTGACAAAAAATGTATCAACATTAGTTTAATTAAGAACATTCACCTTATAGATGTGTGTCAAAAACCAATAAATACTAAAAGATGTGTCTAATGATATATAGGAATTAGAATCTTTACATGTATCTTGTGAAGGCACAATTCACCCTTCAACTTAAATTACAAAATGACTTCAATTGAGAATTACTTATAATTTGTAGTATGAAATAAGACATATAATTAACAAATAACAAAGAAAAATAAGAACAAAATAAGAATATATATATATATATATATATATATATATTTAAACAATTATATGTTCAAAAAACTAGTAACAATTTGGTTACTAGATTTTCATCTAATTTAAAGTAAAAAATATATATATATAAAAATATATTTTAGATACATAATTTTTTTCATTTTTCTAATGACATAATAAACATAAGAATCTAAGTTATTATGAGTAAGTCATAGAGGTTCAAAGATAAGAAGCAAAAAAAACAATAAGTTAAGTGAAAATATTTTATCTCAAAAATAACTTGTTTAAGAGATTAATGATTTGAATTTCACCAAGACTCACAAGTAGTATATATGGATCTCATAGGAAAGTTACAAGGCTTTAGTCTTATCCTCCTACCTACATCCAAGGTGCCACAATTCATATGTAACATGTGCAACTCTTTTCCTACAATTATTACACTAGGTGCCAATCCTCCTATTTTCTACCAGTTAAACCATTTTTTTTGCATTTTTTGTATTTTTTACTTCACCATGGTATTCAAGAAACCTCAATTTGAACAAAGACCTTATAAGGCTTTCAAATTTGATCAAATTCTTCATAATGGTCTTCCAAGGTGGTAAAATCATTTTTACCAAAGTCTTAAATTTATGCTCTAAAAATTCTCAAATAAACTCTGAAGTTCTATATAATATTTTTATAATGCTAATACTAATTTTAAACTACTTTTTTCTACCTTGGTAATTTTTTGCAATAATAGAATCAATTTAAATCAACTAAAAACTTTGTTTTTCACATAAAAATTTGGAAAAACATCAAGTTTTTTCTCATGCTACTTCTACTTACTAATTAATAACTAATGGTTTTGAATGAGTAATGCATGTAAATGGAAGGCAAATGTAAATATTGGTCTCAATAACTAAAAAGTAATTATCACCATTAAAAAAAAAAATTAAACCAACTAAGTTAATTACTTCAAAGACTTAATAAGACTTTATTTTTATGATTGTTTTTTTAACAAGATTCTTGTAACTCATAAACCCTTCTAAATTCTAATAAATTTTTAGATAATCAAATAAGTTTTCTAATCTTAATAGTTTTGCATCTAAATAATTTGAAACTATATCATTAACAATTCCACCAATCATAATGTATTGGTGAGGTTCACAAATCTACTTGTACAGAAACAAAAACGTTACAATCAAATGTAGCCACCTATTTAATAACTTTTATATAAATATTTTAGATTACAAAACACTTTGTTTACAACTAATATGAATGCTTTGGCCAGATCTCAGATTAGACCTTGCAATAAATTGTGCAGATTTATGATAAAATATTTTTTTTATCATATCTAAAAGTCTGCTCAAGATCTAAAACAACGACAAAGTGAGCGATCAGAAGCTAATTGATACAATTATGGCTTTAGCGAGCCTTCTTCAAATTCTACAATGGCTCAAGTCCATCATTCTCTAGAATGCACTGTACTCAATGATAGCAGTATCTCATATTTGCTTGCCTTCCTTGGACTTACTATACTATACAGTCGAGAACTAATGCATAACATGCCTGGCCTAATAACACAAAATTTGCAATTCAGAAGCAGATCTGAGCAAAGTTTTCTTGGGTGGTTTTCTAAGAGAAGCTTACAACTCTCTGGAACATTTACATGCATTTGGATCCTGTAGCATTATCCATCCCACCTTCATAATGTCGGTCTACTAGGGAGGTCTTGTATCATAAACCATGCTAGAGCCACTTCTAAAAATTTGTTGTAATGCTCCACCCAATGTAATTTCTGTTCCCAATGCAGAGGATGCTCGTGAAGATGGTCGTGTTACTCCACGCAAGAAGTCAGGTCCTTGCTGTTCAACTCGCTTACATAGAGCTTCATACTTTCCTAGAACAATGTTCAGCGCCCTCTTCATCTCCCTCAACTCAACCTTCAAATACTGCACTGCAACTCAACAAACAGAATATATACCCAAGCCAATCAGCCGTCCACCTTATTCGACACACCACTAGAAGGAACAGTGATAGGTGAAGCTTTCTATATGCAAAATCGTAGACAGGGACCATGAAAACTGTGCAAAAATTGGGTAAATGCAAACACACCGTCTTGAAGGTGTGCAGCACTGGTTTTCATAACCGAAGCTGAATAATTAAGCCGTTGCAACAATTTCATCGCAACTGCTTCCACTGCCTCTATCTTGAAACCTATTTCTTCCTGTTCACCAAAAAGACCATCCAAATTCATTCACAAAAAAAAATAACACTGCTGCCATGCTTATACTGATACTGTCAAATACAATGAAATCACATTGGGCAGCATCTGTGAGAGGCTTCCAATCAAGCAAACAGATTAAAAAAACCAGGCAACAAGTGACCTCGCCAATAAGAACTGTAGGAAAAGAAGCACCTGATTCTTGCTGACCTCAGCAGCACTAAGGCGTTGCCACTCCTGATAAAGAGCTAGCAATTCAGCAGTTGTGGCAGCATCCAAGGCAGCTGTTCACACGACAATTAAAAACATCAGATATATTCCGACCAACGGTTCCTCACCCTTCAAACTGACAAATGAACGCCACACGATAAAATCTACAGAATAGAACAGGAAAAGTTTTCCCGTTGAACAACACGTCACTCACGGGCCTATATTTTAGCTGGTTCCTCTCAAATATTTAAGAAAAGCTATCACGCTCCCATTCCGCAGTACTTATGTCTCACCACGTAGATAATGCTCTACAAATGAAATTGATACCCGCAAGGCCATGCATAGTAACGGACAACTGCGCTATGGTCTGCACTGCGATTGATTATGTTGAGCGACAACAAATCATCTTTAAGAGCATCAGTTTGAGACAAGTTGTGCTGAAATATGAAGTCTGCCAAACTGCTTTCTTCGATCGGCAATTTAAATATAAGTCCTACCCACACACACACCCCCCCCCCAAAAAAAAAAAGAAAAAAAAGAAAGAAAAAGGAAGTTCTTATAGGAATCTTGCTTAATCGATTGACGAGGTTGGGCAGCAGAACCCACCTGTTGGCCATGTTATGTTGTTTACAGAGAGTGCGTATGAGACATCTGGTTTCCTCTTCTCAGGCTCTACTAACAATGCCTACACATAGAAGCAACATTCAACATTCAGCACTCACAATTAGCACAATAAATCCTTGTGACACGAATTATCGACAGGTAGGATAAATTCATTAGCTGTGACATGGACGGTGGTTCTCAAAATTAGCTAGCGGGCACTCCCATATCACAAGACAACGCCTCAAACACTTAATAAGTTCATGCCATTACCCATGTCTACCTCATTTCTAAATTGCAAATAAAAGTGAGTCTTAATTCGAATAAGAGACTTTAAGTACATCCCCTGAGATACTTACAACACGTAGGTTTTGAAGCCTCTCTATGTAAGGATCCAATTCTTCCGCGCTTCGTCCAGCTCTGATTGTCTCGATCACATCCGCTGCTCCCTACATCCAACAACCAAAGGTAAACCATTATTGCATTCCAGTTTATAATACAACTATGGTGTATCTGAAATTTCTTCACATCTGTATTAACAATCCAGAAAAAAAATTGGAAACAAAATCCTCATTTCCGAAACAGTTATCCTACCCAGGAAGTGGACGAATATCGTGCATCGACACAGAATCTATATTTCAAGTCCTACAACGCTACTAATCACGTCCTTGAATTTTCAAACCAAGCAGATGATGATGATGATGAAGAATCTACAAAGAGTAGCCACACGAGGTTGTACCTCAGAGTCGAGCAACTTGGAATCGGTAGCACCCATGGCAACCCACTTGACAGCGGAGGATGCTTTAATATGCAGCACCCACTTCTACAGCTTGCTCCTTCAAAACCCAACTCAATCTCAGGCTTTGAGCTGTATCGTGAAACACACGACTTCTTCAAAATGCAGCATTATAAGGAAGCTTCAAACCTTGTTGCAATACCCTCACCCACCGAAGCTCACGCCCTACCATCTCCTCCTCTCCGGGTCATGGCGATCAGTTGCACAACTGAACCTTGTTCTCGGTTCTCTCATCCCAATCGACTTCCTCACTCATACACCCGCGCAATAAATCACGCCACGACGTTGGGTACATAAGAACTCTGCTAAAGGACTCGATTGCGATCATGAGTCAACTGAACGTCGGAAGAATCGCGATTCACGCGCTCGAAATCGATGCAAACAGCTCCGCACCAGCGGCATCGTCGTGGCCATTTCGTAGCACAGGAAAGAATGAGCCACAGCAGCAGAATTAGGGTTTTCTCACAATTTCCAAGTACCCTTTGCTCATACAATAATTGCACACTTCATTCAATATTATTGAGCTCTGGAATATGTATCATTTAAAATATAAGTATTAAAATAAATATTTATATTTAATATTTACAATTCCATGTTTTAAAATTTAGAAGTTTTCTCCAGCATTCTATGTTTTAGTAATTCTGGCATGGAGGCATGTGATGCTCGTTGATCTCAAACTGCAATGTATGGTTTGTTATCATGAATTAACTTAGTTATACACATGTATTTCACAACTTCTATTTATATAGATCATGTGAATGTTTTGCATTCTATTTCACTTATTATAATATTAGATGTTAGTATTTCATTTTTAAAATTTTTTTAAAATAGAATTTAATCATGATAGCTATCAATTCTCCATTCTTTGTCTTTCAAAAAAAAAAAAAAAAAATCAGAATTAAAGAATCTAATGCTCTAAAACTGTGGTACTATTAATGTCATAAACATTGTTTGTAAAGACATATATAATATTTTGAAGATTATTTTGTAAAAGGTAAATGAAACTTTTACAAAATTTCTATTCTCAACATGCATGTGGTTAAAATACAAAAATGTATAGGACTTGTTTTATAATATACTAATATTTTTTATATATTTAAAATTAAATAGTATAGTTATTTTTAGAATTTTGTATTAATTAATATGTATTTTATCATAGAACAAACTATGATAATATATATATATATATTCTTTAAACTCCTAAGTATTGACATAATTTTTAAAAAATGGAACAGTAACTGAAGTAGATTTTTGTACAAAATTCAATGTAAAGTAAAAATTTAAGTTTATACATATATATACGTAATGTGATACAAAATTAGGCTTTAGAATATAGATCAATACTAAATGTTTACAAATAAGATAGAGAATGCATACAATCTATTGTTTGAATACAAATTCTTAGCCACAATAATTGCATACATTTAAAAAAAACTTGATGAATATACCAAATGCATAAAAAGATGAATAAAGTGGCAGTTGTTAGAACATACTAACCTCTACTACTATTAAAGAAATGAAAAATACTTGGAAGGTTTAGAAAATCTTATTCTAAGAATGGCTATAACATACATGTTTTTAAAATAAAATATGCTAGGTGGTATTATAAATACGAACAAGATGGATTACAAATTTATACATAAAAACATGAAATCAAAAATAGTTGTAATTGACAACTTAACACAATAAATTATAAATCCTATAAGTTTATAGAAAATAATAGTAGCCATGCAACACAAAGATTGACCATAAAAAGCAACAATAGCACTACTCAAGGTGCATGCATTCATTGAGAGATGAACCCTATTTCATTGCTTAGAATACAACAAATTTGGATCTTTGGTGACCTCCTGAGGATTTTGGACAAAAACACATTAGGTTTTAATCTCCCTGGTTCAAAGAAGGTAGCAATGTATGTAGTCTTGCATACTCAACAGTACCCAACACCCTCCACTTTCATGCAGGGGGGGGGGGGAGCTGTGTTCATGAGTGTCAGTTTTGATACATTTTTCTTTATTCATTTTTGGATTATTATGTTTTCAGGGTTTTCCTTTCTGTTGACTGTGTGTATGAGTACAAAACGAGAATAGAAATGTGTAGCACATGGAAGAGGAAGAAGGGAAGGGAGGGGAGGAAGAGAGCTCATTCACTCCCTTTTCAGTAGTATCTTAACTGGCAGAGATGGCAGCTGCTGCCCATGTCCCATCCAAACTGACCAGGTTAATAATTTACTTGGATTAATATGAATAATTGATTTAACAATACAATTACTCAACTTATCCATAATGTGCAAATGCATATAAAGCTGGATGATACCAAGAGCATTCTCCATCATGTACTTCAAATTTATCACACTTTTATTGATGATTTCAATAGAAAGACATATGCTATTGAGGTTCATAAATGGTCTAATCCAAAATCAATAATTTTAAAAAATATATGTTACAATAATGTTAATAATGTTGACGATTTCTTGAAAAATATGTGAAGATTAAGCATGGTGAATAACCCATCTCCGAAATATCTATAAATTTTTTATTTTAATTTTAAAAGGTACGTATTATATATTGCTAACTTCATGTGGTGATAGAAAGCCCCTACGCACATGGACGGAAGTGGCGCCCATGTACTCCACGTTCGCACACTCGAGCTTCCGACACAGCACCGACCTGCAGGAAATGGGGGGCTACCTACCAGGCTACCTACCTCCCTGGCTCTCCCTGTTTGTGTGTGTGTGTGTGTGAGAGAGAGCGAGAGAGAGTGAGAGAGTGTGTGTTTGTGTGTTTGTGTGCGCGTGTATCCTTCCTTTAGGGGGGGGGGAGGTCATCCGACTTCCGAGGATCCAGATTGGCGTCGCCTGGTCTCCTCGTCAAGTCGCCCTGCTGCATCATTCATTCATCCATTCGTCATCGATGTTTTGAGACCCTCCTTGTTTATTTGTTTGTTTGTTTGTGGTTCTCGATCGCGTTTTGGGCTTTCGCAGGGCTCTGCTGGATTTGGCCCCGGTGGGAGGTGTGGGGTCATCATGCCGGGCGCAATGGAGTCTGCTTCAGGTCCGTTCCTGGTAATGCCGCATGGCGCTGTCTCGGGCATCATGGATTGGTGGAATTGGGTGGATTCGTCCGTGCTCTGGCAGGAGCGTATCTGGCTGGGGCTGGCAATTGCGTATTCTTTGATGTCGGTGATTGCACTGGTACGTGGTTTACTTACTCTAATTTGCTCATATGTCGTGGGAAGTCTATCGATTGATAGGCGTTGGGAGGGCTTTCGATGTACTCATGTTGATGTCGTTGTTTTCGCTGGTCTTTGCCGTCCTGACGTGGGGAGTTTTAAGGTCATTAGCAAGATTGCTTGTGATCCGACATGTGAATTACTCTTCAGTTTCAGTCGAACCACGTTACATCTCGACACGCGGTGCTCTTGGAATTCGTGGATTCGTTTGACATTTCTCGGTAGCTAGTGCTACAAGTTATTTCACTCCAGGGATATATTATGGTTACGAAGTTAAGTAATGGAGATAACATTGAAATGTCAATTGACCTATGTGGTCCTTTCAGAGAGTGATTTTCGCTTTCCTCATTGAAACTGAAATTTAAGTATGAGTTTAAATTTTGTGGACACCAAGCCGTCGTTCTGAGATTGAAGTTTTTATTTATTTTTATTTTTATTTTATTATTTCTATCGTCATCCTGCAAATGCATACTGCAAAGATCCGTGCATCTCTATGATGTACCCTTGCTAGCGCTGGTCTGATTTTGCAACCCACAGCTTCTGGGGTTATTGTGACACAGCGTACTGCGAGGAGGTGATTCGTCACTATTGCCGGGCTCTTTTCACAACCTGTGATATCAGTTAGAACGTGGATTTTGAGTTTTCAAGAGATTCAATAGCCCTGACCTCGAAAAATAGAGAGAAGAAGGAATTCCATGGTGCTGGGTGAAAAGCTTCTCTGATAGACGGAAATCCCGTTTGAATGATTCGGTTTCTGGTTATGTATGTAGCGAGCGAGAGAGAGAGAGAGAGAGAGAGAGAGAGAGAGAGACTATTGTGGTACTTTTGTCTATTCCGCTCTGCCGGATTCCGAAATTTAAAAATCCTAGTTGATTTGTACAAAGTTTCTATGTTACTTTGATGCGTTCATGTGACGCTGCGTGATTCAGAATCGAAAGTCGTAGGGTTGCTTCTAAATTGCAGATATCTCAGAAGAGGAGAACGGCTAACTGTCTGAGTCCTCTTGTTGAGCAATTTCCGGTTGCCGGAAACTGGAGGCTGTACTCCTCAGGTTATTCTGCGTCCGTTGCGCGTTTATGCCCTTTCAATTTGTCAATGTGGCGTGTCTGCTCTGGCAGCACATAGTCTTAACCAAAGCTTCTCTTTTTAGTTGTGAACTAATATGTTAAAAATGTTCAGGTGCAACTAATTCGGATAGAGATGCGAGTTCCGGAGTATGGCTGGACCACTCAGAAAGTCTTTCATCTGTTGAATTTCATTGTTAATGGATGTGAGTACTCTGCCAATCGTTCCAAGACTTTTGACGTCGGTTTCTGTTGTCAGTCAGCGCTGATTATCTGGAAATTTGTATAATTTTGTGCTGCAGTGCGCGCTTCGGTTTTCTGCTTCCGCGAGGATGTGCAGGCATTATCTCCTGAGGCATGTGTTGCGGAGACCTTGCTTCCGTTATTCAGATTTCTCGAAAAGATTTCCTTTGTCAATTAATCTTGCTATGCATATGGACACTGTGATGGCAGATAACTGTGGTGCATCGATCAGTTGAATATTGGCTATGTTGTGCAAGTCGGCTGTCACATGGGGCCTAATTTTGTCTGTAATTACGGCCACCTCTCATTTATGGTATGATGTGTGATCTCATGCGAATCCAGATATTGCAACACGTTCTTTTGGATCTGCCGGGCATAGTATTCTTCACGACATATACTCTTCTAGTGTTGTTCTGGGCCGAAATCTATCATCAGGTAGGGATTTCGGGACTGACTCATTTCACTCAGCTGGTAGCTGCGCTGCTAAGTTGTCACAAATTACTGAAATTTTCTGAATTCTATTTGGCTGAGTGCGCCCATGTAACAGATAACATGTGAGATTGATTATGCGGTTTCGTTTGTGGTTCCAGGCTCGAAGTGCCCCTACCGACAGTCTCCGGCCGATGTTTCTCATCATAAATGCCGCAATCTATTTCACTCAGGTCTGTGTCTGTCCAAGTCGGAACCAAAGATTAATTCTGGTGAGGGTTAGATTTTGCTTCAATGAAGTTCAGCCAGTTGATGATTATTTTCCTTCTTACCTGAAGGTATAAATTGGTGATAGAACTTGTTTGGAGAGTGCAGGCTTGCATCTGGATCTACTTGTGGTTCTCTCCTAGCGCTCTCGTGATGTGCGTAGCGAAGTTTTTTTTCGCAGGTAGAGTTTGGCCGCACAGGCTTTCATATATAACAATCTTTACAACAAACTTCCTAGAGATTGTTTCATGTTTTCCTTGAAATCAACAGCATTTGATGAACATGATGTTCCTAATGTTTGCAGTTGTGTTCCTTATGGCGGCGCTTGGATTCTTAACTTACGGTGGAAGGTAAGCTCTGTTCTGGGTGTTAGCAGTCTCGTCAGATATGTTTCTTGGGGGCCACCTGCATTGGCTTGATGTAAAATTGTATCTTTTTATTTTTTGTAGCATTCGCCAACTGGAGCTGTTGTGTGGGGACCGCTGATCATATTAAGCCCATGGTATGTTTATTCATCGATGTGTGCATGTGTTGATGTGGTACCAGGCTGTTCCTCATGTTGAGGCGGTTCCCTATCGAATCGAAGGGCCGCCGAAAGAAACTTCGCGAGGTTGGGTGTGTGACGGCTATTTGTTTCATATGCTTCACCATCAGATCTTTCATCGTAAGTGGCTGTGTGCAGAATGCACAGGGTTTGCAGAGGGTCGTAGTTGTTGCTTCACTTGGGGTGGTGTGGTTGCATGTGTGTGTAGAGCGATACGATGACGCGATGGCAATGTGTGTGCGAAAGGTGGGGGGTTGTGGAGCATTGTGGTTTGGTGGGTGTTGGACTGATGCGTGGGTGGATGCGACAGATGGCGTTCTCGGTATTCAACAAAGCAATGGATTTGGACGTTCTGTACCATCCAATCTTGAACGGCATATACTACACGGTAAGAGATGTGGGCAGTTTGGAGTGGAGAGTTGTGGGGGTGGTGCGTGTGGGTTTGTGGGGTTGGGGACGACGATGACGCTGAGACGGTGTTTGTGGTGTGGTGTGTGGTGGGTGGTGTGTGCGTGCAGGTTGTGGAGATCATTCCATCAGCTCTTGTTCTGTTTATTTTGCGGAAGTTGCCACCGAAGCGGCCGCCTGGGCAGTACCATCCGATCCGGTGAAGAAGGGCGGTGGTGTGAAGGAGGTGGTGTAAAAAGGTGTGGCAATGCGACTCCTGTTCACGAGCGGCACATCGGCCGAAGGACTCGATGGTCCAGGTTGGTGTCGTGTTAAGGATGGTGAGAGGAAAGAGGCGTGGAGGGTACATTCGAAGCAGTAGTGGTCGAAAGCTTGCTACAAGGGTGTGGGTACGAGGGACGGCGTGGGTGCCGTGGGTGTAGGGATGTAATGGAGATGGGCATTGATAGGACGGAGGTACAAGTATAGTGCGGAGTGAGTAGTGTTTGGAGGGTGTGAAATTATGGACTCGAGTGCTCTTTGAAACTGTGTTCACTTTGTTAACACGACATGAAGGCTTGATAGAACAGGTTGTAACGTGGTAATTTGTGATATTCTGTTGATTGAAGCTGGATCTTACATAATGACGAGACTGTTCATCATAATATCATCTAGCCTATTAAAAGTCTGAAAATATAATTTACAACAGAATACCAAAGTTGAGGTGATGTTTGAACACGAAATTTTTGTGGTCGGTTCATGGTAAGTAGGCTAGCGATCGGCTGCACGGAGAAAGTGAATTTTTTCTGAAAGAACAGGATGATTTGACAACACATTAGCATTTCAAACTATGTTTTTTGTACTTGCGTTTTTGGCAATTCCCATCTCTGCTGGCCTTCTTTGATTTTGTTCTGTATTATTTGTGGATCATATTTTCCCCAGTGGAAAGTACATACGTACAGTATAGAAGTGGAAAACCCATATGAATGTGTCGAAAAACCTGATCTTTCTTCTTTTTCTTTTTTTCGGTGTGTCTTTTGAATTATTATTGTACTAGTAATTTTAACTAATGGTTATTTAGAATTACCAATTTTATTTAAATCTTTTGGAGAAGATTGCTCGTTCCCAACAATAGGCAAATTCAGCCATCCTTGAGATAGTACTGTCATGTATCGACTCACTGTCCTGGAGAAGCTTAAATTGAAAACATGCAAAAACCTTCATGTTCCAATATTTGATGTTGTTTGTCATTTACAATTAACTATGATAAACAAAAATAAAGAAAATTTGATAAAAAAAAACTCACACATTTTCAATTTTTTCATGCCAACTGTAAACCCCCATTTACATATGAGATATTCGAACATTTGTCAACAATTCAACACGTGCAATGCATTAGTGTTTTGTTACACATGTACATACCACACTGTCATTGTGGTGCATGACTTATTACCACCCTTCAATCTATCAATTTAGATGGTATGTTCTCTGCGACGTACACACGTCGTAAGTTAAACTAACAAATTGAGGAAGATGAAAGGTAGTCTTTCAACTCCAATGTCGATTGTGATACAATTGAGCTAACAAGATTATAATGCGTGAACATATTTTTGTTTTCCGGGCAGCGATGTGTGTCAAAAAAAGGGGGGCAGCAGCAGAGCTGCGGCGATGAAGAGGAAGAGTAAGGCCACGCGCGGCGACGATCCTATCAAGGGAAGCCACAGTAGCGTCGAATCCGAAGTAGTCTAGACAAATCCCAGTCGCAAAGCACAATCTCCCGTGCTTTTGCAGAATGGGGTCTGAGCACAATCGGGCCGCGAGTGGTAGGATTCTCGCACTGCTTGCCGCTTGGCACTCGGTGCCTTCGAGCTTCCACTTGGCACGCTGCTCCTCCTGCTCCGTGGCTTGATGTCGGGCGTGGGATCAACTGTCTCATCCAATTCTCTGTTGCACGGCATTCTATTTCTTCCCACGGTTGCTTAACTTCATTGTCATTCCGTGCTGTGAAGAATCGTGAGGAGCGATTCTGTGTCTGTCGTTGTATTCCTGCTTGTTTGCGACGAAAAATCAGTTGCTGTGGCTCAGGAGCTGTCACAACAGTGTGACATCGTTCGGGAAGTCCGACTTCGTCAGCACCTGCGTGGGTGCTGTCCGTGTCAGTTGCAGCTAGAATTATGTATTACGCCAGTGGGCAGCCGTCGGTTTTCGTTTCGCGTCGAGGGGAATTTCCCAGTTGCTCACACTTATCAGAAAGTGAGGGATTTCGTCGAGGGTCACTGCAATTCTTGGCTCCAAATCGGACCAATGGCTCCTTGAAGCACGAGCGAATGTTGACCCTGCTTGAGCGCGGTCCGAATCCTCATAGGTGGGGCCACGGGTGCCGGGCGCAACCAGATTCTGGGAGTGTGCAAACTGATCTTGATGACTCAAGAAAAGAGGTGTTTGAAATGGCGGCACAGAAGATTTTGGATGGGGATGATGTCGAGGGAGGAAAGGGGTTCAACACTGGTGCATCGAATGGTGAAAGCGCCAATGGTAGTGGGGAAAGAGGATCCTCGAAGGTGTTGGAGAAAAACAAGGGGAAGTCGAAGGAGCAGGAGATTGACTGGGAAAACGTGCCCACGATGCCCGACGAGCTCGACCTTGCGCAGAGGCATCCCCTAGATCCTCACAAACCGAATTACAGCGAGCTTTTGCCGGAGCCGTTGCGGCCATACCCGTCCTTTGAGGGGTGGTTTGTGCGGATTATGGACCCCACGAATAAGTTCAGCGCAGCGGTAATTTTGGCGACGAACTACGCTACCGACGAGAGCCAGGTGACCCTCTTGTTTGCACCCGGAAGAAACGCTGACAAAGAAGGAGACAGAGAAGCGGTGAAGTATGGCTACACATATGCTGTGAGGATCAAGACGAAGGTACAAATCTTCTTTCTCCCTCTTCCTGTTGCATCATGCAGCAGCAACAGCTTATTTGCAGAATGAAAAATGGTCAGATTGTGGTATTTCAATCGATATTGAATCACAAAGCAGCTTATCCATTGGTGCAGTTGCTGAACCTACCATATCTGAGTTGCCTTGTCTGTTTTTCTCACTTCATTTCTGGTTGTAGTCTGGATTTGAAAATTGAACTTTAAATTAGCATAAGGGTTTTCTGAATCGGACACAAACGAGAAGACAATGTTTTACTGAAAGTGTATAGTGTTAGGGGTATGGTTCAATCTGTTCATTTTCATTTTTGCGGTGAGGATACAGGACGCCAAGTTTACGAAGAAGGAACAAGATGAGGAATGGGAAAACAAAGGTGAGAAGCCTGAAGGATTTGAATGGGAAGCTAATGGAGTTGGGCGCATTTCTGTTACTCCTCATGTCACCGATGTGGAGTGTACTGTTGAGGGCTACACCTTCAAAGCGCACTTGACAAAAGAGGTACTTATTCATATCATTCTTTCACCTCTGTGTTCCAATGTTCTGCCTCCTTGTGGAGCAACATTGATTCGTACGGAAAGTTTTACCTGTGACAAATAGTTGAAACATCCCTCTACGTGAGAAGGATAATAATTTTGGGCAAGAATACCTAATCCGAGGCATGTTTTTCTCTTGATGCATGCAGCTATTGTGGGATGCCCATAAATCCGAGAAGGGCCCTGAAGGTTGGGCTCGATATGTGTCCATAATTCCCACGCACTGGTATGTATATAGTCTAGGTTCGACTGTAGAATACACTTTCTCGAATCCAGAAAAGAATATTCACAGTGAAGGCTCTGCATTTGGACATGTGGAAAAGAATTGGGGTCAGACCTTCCCTGCGGGCCATATATGGATGCAAGGGATTTCTTCAGACAATACAGCACAGGTAATGGTACTGTGATGCTGTAGAATCTTCTTTCTATTTCATGCTATTTCTTGAGTGTTAAGTTCATTCTTTGTTCTCTTCGCGGTCACTTATGGTGAGGTTGGACTTGCAGGTCTGTTGCTCAGGAGCCTACTTCAAGACCCCAAATGAGAAGTTGGAGTCGACTTACGTTTTCGTGTTGGGCTACCGGTCGCCGAAATTGCAGCTGGATTTTCGCACCAACGATTTGGGAATTGTGTTCAAGGACTTCGAGTTTGCAACTCTTGAAGGTCGAGCATCTGTAACTGCTGTTGGACCCTCTCACACTGTTAAGGTAACTAATGATTTGTTGTTTCCATTATTATTATCATTATCGTTATTAGAATTGCTTCTCTTATGAATTTACTAACCTGCTCTACCGAGGCTTTGTTTATGGAGGCGTTGCTCATAATTGGCTTGCTTTACCCATTAAATTGTGGACTTGAAATCAAAATATTGCTGTCATTCGACATGTAATTTAAGTACAAGCGATTTGTTATTCGAGCTTTTGTCGTGACCGTGCTTGCATTCTGATTCCAATACTTGTTTTGTGTCGAATCCTGCTATCCAGATAAAGGCTCAAGCTCCTTTCGACACATTCTCGGATCCTGTGTTGGCACCAGTCACCAAAACAGACTGGAAACCCGCATGTCGTGAATCATTTGTAGCGACGATCGAGGTCGAAGTGTACGAGCACTTTGCATGGGGGATTCCAGGAACCGAGAACCTTGTGGAGACAATGAAGTTTGAATACGCAGCTCTTGAATTCGGTGAGGACTTGCTCTCTGGTCAGGGTTCAGAGAGCGAAGGAAACCAAAACTGATTTGCTGAGCTGATCTCTGCCCAGAGACGCATGCATCTTGTATACTCGATTGTTAGTTTGAATGAGCCAAATGTGTAAATTCCCAAAACTGTATTCTTTGTGGATAAACATGTCCATTTCTTCAACCCAATTCATAAACTCCTCAAAGAATCTCAACTTGGTTGTCAATCGCAAACATGATGCTATTATTTTATTTATTTCTGGGTTGAAATAACAAGACATAACATCTTTTTCAAAACAATCTCATTCTTAAAATTCTTAAATACATTTGTTTGCAAAATACAAAGCATACATTTAATGTTGATGTAAAATTAAGGTTGAACATTGTATGTATCATAAATAATGTGTGAGTTGAGTAAGCAAAAACAATTACAAAAATAATGATAAGAATGTTAATTGTCGATCTGTAGAAAAATTTGGCACTTTAAGTGTTCAAATACCAACATAAAAGTAAGTAGCATTAAATCTTTAACATAAACTTGTTTAACATAGTGGAGAAGTGAGTTGAATCAAAATTTAAAATGTTCACTTAATATAACCAAAATGCTTGATAACACTTGTTTTTATATAAAAACACTTGTTTGCATCTTATTTACTAATTGACTCAAACTGTTAGGGACATAGTCCTTAGAACCTTCTAGAGACAAGTTTCTAGAACCTTCTAGAAGCAAGTCTCTGGAACCTTCTAGAAGCTTTCTAATTGATGGAAATTGCTTGAGAAGCTTCCTAGTTGGTAGAAGATGTTAGGGACATAGTCCTTAGAACCTTCTAGAGACAAGTTTCTAGAACCTTCTAGAAGCAAGTCTCTAGAACCTTTTAGAAGCTTCCTAGTTGGTAGAAGTTACTTGAGAAGCTTCCTAAATAGGAGTATATATTGAAATCGAGGCTGAAGAGTTCTTTAGTCTCGACAACACATCTCTTGGAGTTCTAGTTCACCTCTTTGGTATTGTTCTTGTATTCATCTGATTAATCTAGTTCTTGCCAGTTCTTTTTGAACTTCTTATTAGATCTCGAGTCTGTATTTCTGTGTCCGTGACAGTTTGTTGAGACTTCACTCACCTCAGATATCAGAGCTAGTTCTTGCTCGTTAGAGTGTGGATTACCCCTCTGCTTGGAAGTGTACTAGCATTTTAGAGGTTGCAGATTACCCTCCTCTAAATTGATACTTCTTTTGTTACAATATTGGAGTCTTATTCTTCTTAGAGAGAGTGGATTATCCCTTTTCTTGAAGCTCTTAAGGCATTTTAGAGGTTGCGGAGTACCCTCCTCTAAACCAATATTGTCTTCTTGTAGAGTCATTTCTGTCCTTCTCTTAGAATGGTTGGGGGCCAAGACATTAGTATGACGGAAAGTTCGGAGTCCAAGTTGGATGCTATCATGAATGCCCTTGCTACGTTATCGCAAAGAACAGCAGAGATTGAAGGAGTCATGGCAAGGCTTCATAATGATGGAGCATCTGGGATGGCACAATCTAGGTTGCACCAGCCTCAAACTTCTACACTTGGAGAAGCAACTTTGCCTCAGGTTTGACAAGCACTGCTGGTTTTACAACATAAAGAGCCCCGAGTTAGCCTTCCGGACAAGTTCGATGGTACGCGTTCCAAGTTTCGAGGATTCGTCAACCAAATCAGGTTGATAACAGTTTTACAACCCGAATGCTATCCAATGGAGGAGTCATGTGTTGGGCTTGTTAGAACCTTACTTACAAGGCAAGCTCTATCATGGTTTGTTCCTTTGTTTGAGAAACGATCGTCCATACTAAACAACTTTGAAACCTTTTTGGAGGCGTTTGCGGAAGCATTTGGTGAACACGATAAGGTTCGATGGGCTACAACAAAGATCCGATCACTACGACAAGGGATGCGCTCTACATCAGTCTATGCATCGGACTTCAGGCAATGAGCATGCGACATCAATTGAGACGAAGAAGCGTTGATGAGTCAATTCTATTGGGGTTTAAGGGAAGATGTGAAGGATTTGCTGTTAACTCTTCCTGATCCGCAAACGCTCAACGAAGCTATTAGCTAAGTTGTGAAGTGCGATAATCGCCTATTCCATCGCCGCCAAGACCAACGTTCAAGACAACATATGGTTCTCCACGCCCCAATTATATCGACAAGTAGTGTGAATTCACATTCAGAGGTAGAAGACATGTAAATTAATGCGGTACGTGTCAAATCCCTTACTCTAGAAGAAAAAAAGTGGCGTATGGAGGAAGGTCTATGCTTGTATTGCTGTGAAGAAGGCCACAAAGTTAGAAACTGCCCCAAGAAGCAAAATCGACGTATTGTCAGGACTAGAAGCACGTTTGTTCAAGAAAACGAGGATGCCCAGCCACAATAGGAACCGTGCTGCTGAACAGTGAAATATCACAACAACAACCAAGTTCCTTTCTTTCCGCTCAACCTGCCCTTCGCTTTACAATCCCTTTGCTTATTGGCCCTCAAAAACTGAGAACCTTAGCATTATTAGATTCAGGAGCATTTGCTTGTTTCTTAGACGAAGAATTTGCGAAGCATCATAAGATCCCTTTAGTACAAAAATCCAAACCTGTTCACGTTGAGGTCATAGATGGACGACCTTTATTGTCTGGTAGTGTCACCCATGAATCAAAACCTATAGAAGTGACGTTTAAGGGCCATAGTAGTCATATTATTTTTAATATTATTAAAACCCCATCAAATCTTGTTATTCTTGGTCTTTCTTGATTAGAAAAGTATAATCCATCCATAGATTGGAGGTTGCGGAAGATGACCTTTCCCACAAAACCACCCAAGAGCAAGCCTAGTAAAAAACCCCGAATAGAGAAATCCTTATTCATTGAAGCAAGAGCGTTTATAAGATCGTCTAAGGAAGGCACACCGTTTGTCATTTATGCGGCTCCAACTACCGGGGAGAAGATCTCGACAGCAAGTATACCTGAGCAATATAAGGATTTTAAAGACGTGTTTCAAAAGAAGAATGTCGACATGCTACCGGAACACCGACCATATGATTGCGCCATAAACTTGCTGGAAGGAGCACAATCGCCTTTTGGCCCAATCTACAATCTATCGGAGATGGAGTTGGCGGAGTTGCGGAAGTACATCGACGAGAATCTAGCCAAGAACTTCATCCGTCATTCAAAATCGCCAGCTGGAGCATCCATCTTATTTGTGAAGAAGAAAAATGGCTCGTTACGGATGTGCGTGGACTATCGAGGCCTTAACAAGGTAACAAAGAAGAATCGTTACCCGTTACCCTTGATTTTTGGTCTCTTAAAACAACTTGGACGTGCAAGGATCTTAACAAAAATTGATCTAAAGAGAGCTTACAACCTCGTACGAATCAAGGAAGGAGATGAGTGGAAGACAGCGTTCCGTACAAGGTATGGCCATTTTGAGTATAATGTCATGCTCTTTGGTCTTACCAATGCTCCAGCGATCTTTCAACATATGATGAATGACATTTTTCGAGAGCACCTTGATGATTTTGTTGTCATTTATTTAGATGATATTCTGATATTCTCCAAAAACGAAGAAGAGCATGAAAAGCACGTTCGTTTGGTCTTGGAGAAACTACGCGAGCGAGGACTATATGCCAAGTTGGAGAAGTGTTTATTTCACCAAATAGAGATGGAGTTTTTGGTGTTCGTTGCGACTACAGAAGGCTTGAAGATGGATCCCAAGAAGGTGGAAGCAATCGAGTCCTGGGAGGTTCCGAAGACAATTAGAGACGTACAATGCTTTCTTGGTTTTGCCAACTTCTATCGAATCTTCATCAAGAATTACTCTCAAGTTGTTGCTCCTCTCACTCGATTGACATGCAAGGATAAGCTGGAATGGGGACCTCTAGCGGAGAAAGCGTTTCAAGACCTGAAGATCACATTTACAGCTCCAATCCTTGTACATCCAGATTTTATAAAGGCCTTTTATTTAGAAATTGATGCTTTGGATTTTGCTTTGGGAGATGTACTTTCACAATTGGGAGAAGACAAGAAGCTCCATTCGATTGCATTCTATTCTCGAAAGTTCTCTGCTGTTGAAATCAATTATGAGATCCACGATAAGGAACTTCTTGCTATAGTAGATTCTTTCCAAGAATGGCGTCACTTTCTTGAAGGAGCTGCACATCTAGTGACCGTATACACAAATTACAAGAATTTGGAGTATTTCATGTTGGCTCGAGTTCTAAATTGACGTCAAGCTTGGTGGAGTATCTCACTATCTAGATTTGATTTTGTTATCACTTATCGACCTGGAAAGCAGCAAGGACTATGTGATGGCTTATCGAGGAGATCGTATCTTGTACCAAAGGCTGGAGAAGCAGTGTTTGATCAACATTGTACGACGTTGTTGAAGCCAGAGCAATTTTGGCTTTGCGCTACTATTGTGCCAATTGATGCTGACTTCTTGAATCAGGTATGTGCCGTGACCATTGAAGATTCAATAGCCATTGATATCAAGTAGCGTGCCCATGACGACAAGTTCAAGGTGGAAGGAGATCTTTTATACTTTGAGGAGCGGTTGTATATCCCAAAAGGACCAGCACGATTTCGAGTTCTTTAATCTCGCCATGATTTTCCAACTGCGGGATATTTTGGATTCAACAAGACCTTGGAGCTTATTTTTCGAGATTTTTGGTGGCCCCAAATGTGGAAGGATGTGAAAGATTTTGTCCTCTCCTGCGACATCTGTTTAAAATCCAAGAATCCTCGGCATCACCCTTATGGACTTCTACAGCCATTGCCGATTCCACGTCGACCATGGTCTTCAGTTTCCATGGACTTCATCATGGACCTGCCATCATCGAACTCATTTGACAGCATCTTTGTCGTGATAGATCGACTTACAAAGATGGCGCACTTTGTCCCTTGCAAGAAGACATCATCCAGTGAAGTCACAGCAAGGCTCTTTCTCGATAATGTGTATCGATATCATGGACTACAAGATGATATTGTATCAGATCGAGGAATCCAGTTCGTATCAAAGTTTTGGAGATCTCTCTTTGAGATATTGAAGGTAGATATCAAGCTTTCTTTGGCTTTTCATCCACAAACTGACGGCCAAACGGAACAGGTGAACCAAGTCTTGGAACAATACTTACGATGCAGCATCAACTATCAGCAAGACGATTGGACCACATATCTACCGCTAGCCAAGTTTGCATATAACAAC